ACTCAACCAAATCCTCTCATACCACCATCAAAACACTCCTCTCACCACCCTCTCCAACCTCATACCCAAAAATCAACACATTTCCCTCTCTCTCCAAAAATCCGAAACCCTACCCCAAAAACCCCAAATCCGAATTCAAGCTTGAAATTTGGGCAAAATGGCACCAAAAAGAAGTCAACCAGAGAGCTCCAATGCTAGAGGACCAATTCCGGGGTATGAGACCATCCGCTTTGGGCCGGGAGATCACCGCAAACGATTTATGGCCATCATCAAAAGGCAAGTAGTTCCTTCTAGATTCCTATGTCATAATGCTCTTACACAACTAGGCTTGTTGGATGGAATGAGGGAATTATTTGATAGGTTGGAGATGAATTTGATTTTTAATATGAAGTATAATTGTGTTGACAAAGTGATTTATGAGGTGATGAGTTCGGCTAAAGTTGTCCTACATGATGACCCGGCGGAGTTCCTCTACGACAAGCTCACGTTTCGTTGGTTAAACAACGAATACTCAATAACGAGACGTGAGTTTGCGGAACACTTCGGCATTCCCGCACCCCATGAAAGAGGGATACCGGAGAGCACACTTGACGGGCACACTTTATGGGCCAAAATGACCGGAGAAAGGAAGGTGAACGCATCTAAATTGTCCATTAGTCGCGTTCAACATCCTCTTCTCCGGATGTTCCTAAAGTTCTTGTGCAATTCTTTGCTTGGTCGCCCCAATAATCACCATACTCGGATGGGGGACGTGGCCGTACTCACTCTAGCCCTTTTTCATAGACCCACGGAATACAATCTTTGCAATTTAATGTGGGATCACTTGGAGGAAGCATGTAAGAAGACCGGAAACATTGTGGTTGGGGGGGTTATAATGCACCTAGTGAGCAAATTCGGCTATACGGACAATGCTCCAATTCACCCCGATTGCTTAATGCACCTTGGTTGGTTGTCCAATGCGGGTTTGATATCTTTGGGCAACAAAGACCACAATGGCAACCAACGCTATAGGTGGCACATGAAGTACCCCGAACCCACCAAATATTCCCCCCTCCCTTGTGATGAATTGCCTAAGCTTAGGTATAGGATGGCCACATTCGAGATCCCCCATTACCTCCTCCCAAACAACATTCCACCCCACCTCCAAGATCAAGCCAACCCACCCGAAGAACAACCCGAGCATCATCCCGATCAAGCCGACAATCAAGGACATGAAGATGTCCACAATGCACTTCCCGACCCTCCTCAAAACCCGCCACCCCAAGACTTTTTCCAACAACTCTTGGCGGGTCAACAATCCCTCCTTGCCGGCTTCCAAACCATGAGCCTCGATTACACAAAGATGGGTAGGCAATTTACCCAACTTCAAGAAGAGCTAGGCCAATACCGGGCGGAGCAACAAGCAAGGGACCGCCAATTTGATGCTTTCCGGACCGAGCAACAATCGGCATTCCAAAGGATGGAGGAGCAAAGGGCGGCCGATATGCAAAGGTATGAGGACGACTACCGGAGGATGTATGGGCCCACATACTCATACATGTCCCACATCGGCGGCTTTGCATCTATGTCCTCACCACCACCGGCACCCTCTTGGTATAACCCCTCCGATTGGGGTAATTTCGGCGGCTCCACTTCCGGCGGTGGTGGCTATGACGGCGGGGATACGACCATGGGCGAGGGAGGTGGCGATTATATGCAGGGAAGCGGCTTTGGAGGCGGATATTATGGCGGAGAAGGTGGGCACTAAGGATAGTGCCACGTTTCAAGTGTGGGGGAGGAAGCATCATCTCTTGGTATGTCACAATCCCTTTATCTTTTTTTTACCTTGTACTAAGCATTAGTTTCTACAAATAAATTGTTCAAATGTAAAAAAGAAAAAAAAATGAAAAAAAAAACAAAAAAAAAAAAGAAATGAAATGCTAGTTAGGTTGAAAACCCAAAAAGGGCAATCTAAGCAACAAGGGCTTACAACAAAAAAAAATGATGAGTGAGTGGTAAGAAAGAAAAAGAAAAGAGATGCTAGGATGAAAACCTGAAAAGGCTCCTAGGCAAAATGAGAGATATGAGAGAAGCATTTGCGTTTTGCAGGGCACTATCTCTTGGGGAGGAAGAAGAAAGGAAGAAGAAGAAGTGAGGAGCATAGAAGACCATTAAACCCAAGGAAAAATTTGTTTTGTAACTTCATTTACAATACTTGGTGGTTTTAGTTCCTTATTTCTTCTTATCTATGAACTCATGGTCTGTTGATGGACATTATGTAAACATTTGGTTTTACTCGAGGACGAGTAAATAAACTAAGTGTGGGGGAGTTGACATTCGTGTAATTTCCATATTTAAATTTGTACTTTTAATTAGTTTCGAGTGATTGTTACTTTGGAAATTACACACTTTTGGTGTAAACAGTTTAGTTTGTAAAATATTTGTAATATGTTTAGATTAGGTTTATTCTGAGCTCAAACAGGTCCAAATACACTTTGGAGAACATCACCAGTGGAAGGAAGGTGCAAGAATGCAAGAAAAAGATTGAAGATCTCGTTTTTGGTCTGTACCCGATCGGGTATGACCTATACCCGGTCGGGTACCCTTCTGAAATTTCGAATCAAATCAAATCCGGGAACAAGGCATCATGCGGGAAGATTTTAACACGTTCGGGTGTCCATACCCGATCGGGTGACCGACAGATCCGATCGGGTATAACCCCATTTTTCAGCTTCGCCGAAGCCACATATAGTACCCGATCGAGTGGGCTGAAAACCCGATCGGGTACACGACCCTGCAAGCCTAAAAAGCCTATAAATACACCCCATTTCCTCCACAAGAAGATGACCAATTCACATATACTTCTAAGCTCAGTTTAGACAAGTTCTTTCTTTATATTTTTATCATGTTTAGTCTCCAAATGAGGAGCTAAACTCTTCCATCTTGGTTTTGCTACTTTGAAGCTTAATGAATTGTAAGTTGTGAGTTATTTTCTTTGATCTTCTTCCTTGAATATTAATTAATTCTTATTCCTCTACATATTAATATTTTGAGCAATACTTAAAGGATCAACTAGTTTTGTTTCATATATTAATTAATACTAGAATCGGTCGGTTAATACGCTTGTTATTAACTCGGCTCTTTCACGGTAGTAAACTTGGGTTGCTAATGCATGCGTCTCATGGTTAGTAAGCCAAGGGGAATTAATTATATTGATTAAACCGATAAACCGCTTGTGTTGAGGTTATCAATCTCAATCGTTTTCATCTTGATTTTATTGCTACTATCAAGTACATATACGGCGCGTGTTCTATATTGACTCGATAGTAAGTTTTATTAATGAACGCGTCTCGTTATTAATAACTACCCTCGATGAATTGGATATACTCCTCGATTGAGTATTCGAGAGGAAGATAGTTAAAGATATAACCGGGATCAACGAACATTTCATTAAGTGGATAAAAGCAAAGCCAAGTCTTCTTCTCATTAATTAAACCACATAACTCGTTCATCTTCGTGCTTAAATATAAATTAAGTTCATCAACCAATCATAAAACCCCCCTTTGTTACGTATCTTTAATTCTATAAAAAGAGAAGTGTTCCTTTCCCTGTGGATACGAACCTTACTACACTATACTACGTATCAATGTCGTATTGTATTTATTTTGAGTGCACCTCACGACAAGTGCACGTCAGTAAAAGCAAAATTTCAAAAATTAACAATAATACTCTAATATCCACCCACCGGTCCCAGTATAGAACTAAAAGAAACACACACAAAAACTACATGAAACAAAAACAACAGTAACAAACTAACAACTCCTAATGAAAATAATTGTTCAAAACAACAAATTTTTAAGGCAAACTATATGAGCACTTAAAGGTTAATTTTCAAATGAATGAAAAAATAAAAATAAAATATAGCAACAAAAACTTGTAACAATTGCAAATTTGAAAGCATATTTAGCACAAATATTACAAAGAAAGTATATGTGATGTGAGTCCAAATGTTTGAAAAATAAAAAACATGTCCAAACAAGTCCTCATGTTTGATAGTAATCAAATTTTTATCACATGCCTTATTTAAGTTATTTTAGGCATATATTCATATACAAGTCAACCAGTGAATCAGCCTGAGTGACAAAGAAAATAGATAAACAAGTCATAAGTGATTCAAATCACTAAATATATGGATTCTAAATGTGGTGAAATCTCATTTCATTCTGTAATTCTTCAATGGTTAATACAAATCAGTTAGGTTGCTCGAGTTTGCATCTTATACTTTTATTTTAACCCTAGGGTTGTCTTCTTTCCATTTAATTAATGAGCTGTTACTTTTATCCTATTGAAGTATCAAGTTCCCCACATTATCAGAAATGTGAGGAACCTGATACTTCAATGGTATGACATCATACTTTATTATGCAAAAGTTAGTTTTACCTTTTAATTACTAAATGGGCTGTTATTTTAATCCTATATTAAAATGAGGAATTAATGAATACTACGTATAAGGCAATTCTTTCCAATAATTAATTCATATCTCACGTAGAACACTTCCTTCTTCACCGAGCAGAACATGTTCTTCTTCACCAACTCATATTTTCGACTTCCTAATAAATCATTTTATTGAAGCATTAGCAATGGATTCCGTCAGCGTTAGTTACCTGTTGTCACACAAACTCAATATTTTTTTTACATATTCTTCATATGTGCATGACCAAATTCGTACAATATATCATTAACGTAGGACAACATCTTTAAAACAACACAAATAATCATTCCGCCAATAACAAGATGTTTGTATAACACATGTGCCTTATTAGGGTACATATACTCACTACTTTCCCACTTTTTTAAAAATCTTCAAATGCCAAACCAGGCCATACCTTATTTTCCATACATATCATACTCGTTCACTGCTTGTGTAATTCTATCATGTACCTTTAGTTAACTTAATGCCTGTAATTAACTTGCTGCCTCTGTATTTGCCACACACAAAACTTACTGCCTCTATATTCGCCAAAAAAAACTTATTGCTTCTGTATTTCATATAGTGCTCTTATTTTACTCAATCAGCTTATTGCTCTCATTTTTTCGTTCTACAGAAAGATAGATCATGTTTGAGTTACTGCCTACCTACTGCAGTACTGCCCTTACTACCCATTCTCTACCTCATACACAATTAGACTCCCTTGTACTTACTGCCCAAAGTAACTTTTTATACATATCATTTCCTATCTATTACCCACGTTAAACTACTGGCCTACTCCCATAACTCTTTGGACACTGCAGACCAATGTCCGACATTAAAGGTTCCACATTTCATTCCAATCCGCATCTATTTAGACCACAATGCCGTAATACTGTCCCTATACTTCTGCTTAGTGTGTGCTCGCATGGAAACCCAACCCTATGCAGACTTAAATCCAATTGTTCACTGTAATTATGTTGCTAGCCGTCGTTGAAGACCTGGTTTCCTTCGTCTTTTTTACATCCACCACTCCTCCAGGCCCCATCCCCTTTCTCCGCTATTGCTTTCTTTCTTTCAATTCACCAGCTTCTTCCTCAAGTTAACGCCTCCTTTGAAATGCCTATGTAGAAGGTGTTTCCTTCTCCTGTACCGCACACAATAAATGTTGAGTGTTGGCACACGCCTATAAAATTGTTTGGTTTCCGTTTATTAATAAAATTACTTTTCAGTTTAATCTCTATGGAAGACGAACATTTCAGGGCAATGAGGTCATTTTATTTCGTTTTAAATACACAGATACTCATGAACAGTTACATTTAGTCATTGTTGACTTTTTAGTATTATTGCAGTATTTTTCCCAAATCTACCATTACCATTACATTACCAAATCTACCATTGCCATTCAGTTACATTTACCTGGAACGCAACCGTAAATCTAACAAAAGCATATGCTACACATTACCATTCAACAGTCTTTTGCCAACAAAAAATCTATACAATAAAGGTAACGGTGGCTACACCAAATCACCAAGGTTGACCTTTCCCTGTCATGCGCCTTGCCAATTGAAAATCGCTCTTCACTGAGCAATAAAGACAGGAAAAATGAGTGTGTTAGAGCAATCATTTCATTTTGGTTTACAATATAACTACAATGGCTGAACTTGATACCAAACACTTTGCTATATCTACATCCAGTATGGAGAAACAAATCCCATATTTCCATGGAAATGAATATCTGGGTTTTCCATATTATTAGAACTTCATAAGTTAGGTTATAAAAACTGCAATAAGCTCATGGAGTGGGGAGTGATCATACTAAGTGTGACGCGCTTGGCGTGAATAGCACACAGCTGCGCATGTCCTAAGAGTTCCACCAAATACGACTCAGACGCCTGCAAAATCAAAGCCCAGCAAACAAACAAGGCACTTGATGAAGTATAGAAGGATTATTGAGGGGTGGAAAAAGAGCCAAAGTAGCTTGAGGTGACATTTGCAAACCCAAAAATAAGGGGACTTAAGGCTAAGAGAACCTAAAGCCTGGAACGCAGCTTTACTTTCCAAAACATTATGGAATATACATGCCAAAAGAGACTCCCTATGGATCAAATAGTTCCATGGGGTCTACTTGAAAAATGTTACCATTTTCCCAATGGGAGGGCTTCTTCTCTGCTCAAACAACTGGACAGATTCAAGGATTCACTTCTAGACCACTTTGGTAGCCAGGAGGCTTTGATAGCAAGGCTGTGATTTTTATGATTTCTTATGGCTCACAGGTGTGACTAAAGCCTGGATGAGTTTTATATGGAAGAGTTACACCCCCACCCCTAGGTTCCCCTTTACTTTATGGCTGAGCATCAGGAATGAATCACATACTGTGGAAAATTTTTGGTTTTCGATGGAGATCGATCCTTCAGCTTATGTTATGGCCACCTGGAAACTGTCTAGGATTCGTCTTTCAGGTGTCAGGCCAATACAATATTGAAGGAGATATGCAAGTGGAATGATAATAGAAGTCTGCTCTAAACAGTGCAATGAAATGTTTTAAGAAGTATTTCAGAGGAACAAGTCTAGGGAGTCAAACAGTGAGACAACCATTAAGCTGCACTGTCTATACTATCTGGAAAACAAGGAATTCTGAACTTTTTGGAGGTAATAGAGCCAATGTTGAAGTTATTACACAAATGAAGGTGATTGTGTATACAATTTTAGATAGGTTATACCCTCATCCCCCGGAGACGACTAGTTGATTACTAACCTATTTTACCCTTGTAGGTACTGGTATGGCTTAAAAGCAACTGATAGTGGGGGGTGACATCTGGCTGCATCAGTGTGTGGGCTAGTTGGTTAGTTTGTTTAAATATTTGTGTTGTGGTTGAGCCATGTACCTAATAAGAGGCAGTAGCGTGCTAAATTTTTATTATACTCAATATACTGGGGACATACCCCTGTGATCATGTTAACTTCCTAGTGTATATATATAAATTTATGTATATAAATGTACATGTGTGTGTATGTATATATATATATGGTTAAAGGGTCAAATAGGCCCTTGAACTGACTTAAAGTGTTCAATTAGTCTCTTATATAGGAGGTTCTGGCCGGCCGTCGCTAATTGGGGCGGTTCCCGGTAGAATTTTTTGATGAAATGTTTTGAGCATCTTCTTCATTAAGTCTAGTTTACCCATACCAAATTTCAGCTAAAAATTCAACCGGGAAGGCAGTCAAATGATTTTCCGAAATGTATTGCGCTGTTTAACTTTGCAGTTACCTTCAAAAAATCATTTGACTGCCTTACTTGTTGAATTTTTAGCTGAAATTTGGTATGAGTAAACTAGACTTAATGAAGAAGACGCTCAAAAATTTTCATCAAAAAATTCCACCGGGAACCGCCCCAATTAGCGACGGCCGGGGCAGAACCTTGTATATAAGGGACTAATTGAACACTTTAAGTCAGTTCAAGGGCCTATTTGACCCTTTAGCCTATATATATATATATATACAGAAATGCTCAGGTCCATCCGGAGGGATGGGAGGCTCCGTCCGAACTTTACTGTTTGAGGCGGTTCCCGGTGGAATTTTTTGATGAAATTTTTTGAGCATGTTCTTCATCAAGTCTAGTATATCCATACCAAATTTCAGCTCAAAATTCGATCGGGAAGGCATTCAAATAATTTCTTGAAACTTACTGCACATTATATGTGCGCAGAATGTGCAGTATGTTTCAAGAATTTATTTGAATGCCTTCCCGATCGAATTTTGAGCTGACATTTGGTATGGATAAACTAGACTTGATGAGGAACATGCTCAAAAAATTTCATCAAAAAATTCCACCGGGAACCACCCCAAACAGTAAAGTTCAGACGGCACTTCCCGTCCCTCCGGATGGACCTGATCATTCCTCTCTCTCTCTCTCTCTCTCTCTCTATATATATATATATATATATATAGTTTTATAGGTTATTAACAAAATGAAATACAGAAAGAATTAAGTTTCACTTCACATCTGTTGAATGGAGAGGATCCAGTTGTTTGATGCACATAAAAGGTAATCACAAATAATAACAAAAACACCTGTACACAGTACTGTCATACCTCCTGAAGTGCATAAAGAGCATCTGCTTGCCAGCGCTTCATATCCGGTGAATAAAATGTGCTGAACTCCCTAGTCTGCCATAATTAAGAAGAAATTGAACTCTATTTTAAGGAAATGAAAAATATCATAGTGAGAAAAACAGTCACAAATCAGTACAAAAGTCATAGAGCATTGCTTTTTGTTGATTGATAGTGTCATGCAAATACTCAAGAACTCCAAATTTAGCATTCTCAAAGTGTTGTAAATCTTGCTATTGCATCACATATGCACAGATGCAATTTTTAAATAGGCTAACATACTAAAATACAAAATGAATAATTCATTTGGCGTAGTTTACACAGCATTCGAGCTTTCAAATTAAATATACGATGGCACACAACCAGCTCAGGTTCTAATTGAGAAACACAATAGAATCACATTAACAGTACATTATGCCATAGTTTCATATGGTGTTTTGGTCTAACTTAGATTTGAAGTAAATGAATGATTGTGGATGTGAGCCATTTAGTAAGATAAACAGCCCACATAATTTCACCCAAATTTTGACTTGATCTATGAGAACGAGTCATGAATTAATTTACAAAACACACTAAGATAATGCATGAGCCATTAACTATTTAATTAACTATTTAATGGCCACTGAGAAGTATATCTATGCCTGATGTCCTTACATTCTTAAGACTTGGTTCATATCTAGAGGAGTTATCCAACGACCCATTCTGGTAGATTGTCTTTAACTCCTAAAGGTAAGCACATCAAGATAAAATGAACTCTCCCCATCCCACCCGCCCAAAATTTAACATGGGGATCTTGAAGATGTGAAGGGACATCACTCTAATTTATCAAATTCAATAAAGCTTGGACTCCCACTCATGTTCTTCTCAGGAGAAAGTCAATACATGTTTTGGCATGCTAAGTCACTTTGACATTTCCCTAGTTATCCAATTTGGAAATCATCTTATTCACAAGGTTAAAGAGTATATATACTAATCAAACGATATACTTTAAGAGTAAAGCTTAGGGAAAGAGCAGAACTGATACAACGTACAAGCCTGACAAACGGGGCTTTAGGAATAAGAAGATTGCATGATTTCTGGGTCTTCCGGATCTCCCGGAGAGCAACAGTTCCGGGCTTAAAGCGACGAGGCTTCCGTGTTGAAGCTTCACTAGGAGCAGAACCAGGTTTGGAATCTAGTAAACGAAACAAGCCAAACTGTCAAATATTTAATTTCACCCCCCAAAAAGAAAATATTTAAAGCTACTCCAAAAATAAAGAAGGAAATGCTAAAAAACACAATTTCTATATGGCCTTACTTTTTGTGGGCTTACCCTTCCTCCGCTTGCCCTTCGTCGGCTTACCCTTAGGCACCTATATCCACGAAAAGAGAACACAACATTACAATGCGCGGGTCTAAGCATACAAAAAACACAAATATACAGACGTACTAGCTTCGTGGAAGCGGATGCTCCGGCACCTGAAAACGAAGAAGATAGTAAATTAGGGTCCCTGAGATCAACGAATTTCTTTTCTGAAGCAATAGAAAACAAGAAGTTTTATCTACAGAAAAACAAGTTGACTGAAGTCGAGACCTTTCTTCTTAGTTGCTGTTTGCTTGACTCTTGCCATGGTATTCCGAGGATGGTTGGTTTTTCTCTCCGGCTCTTTTTGAATCGGTCGAGGTCGGTACTTGGGTTTTTTTTATTTTGAATTTGAAATGAGAGCATTTACGTATTTACATGCTAGATATTTTCTAACTTTAAAAAAAATGCTAGATATTTTCTAAAGATCCCGCCTAAACGACGATAAAAAAAGGTCTTATACACATGTGGTATGAGAGAGATACACACAAGAGTTTGATTTTATGACATTTTTTATTTTTCTCTCTGTCTTTCCACGATCTTATGTATTTTTGGTAAGTTTTTCTCTGCAATGTCAATCACAATGTCTACATCTAGATATTGTGCTTGACGCTATGAAGAAAAACTTACCAAAATGATACTGTATAATATACTTTAAATAAGGAAAGAGATATTTCATTTATTGTTTTTTGATTGGCTATCTCGCATACTCGTATGTGTAATTATAGATCTGTCCCCGGTTCGGAACCGAACCAGAACTGAACAGGCGGTTCACGGTTCATCAAATGCTCAAACCTTAATCGAAACCTTGAAGGGTCAGTTCAAGGCGGTTCCGAACCACCGGTTCCGGTTCGAAACCGGTTCGATTTCGGTTCGGTTTCGGGTTCCATTTTTATTTTTATTTTTATGTTTTAAATATTAAAGTTTAGTATTTTTAAATAAATTAATAAAAGAGTTACCAAAAATTACAATAAAAATCTCTTATTGTTAAAACTATGTACAACAATGGGATAGTTAATATATAGCTATGTAGTTGCAAGAATAAGTATCTCTCATTAATAATTTAGTATTGTTATATAATTTAATTATCAATAAATAATGGATACTTATAAATAATAATTTTAATCCGAAACAATATTCACTAGTATAGCAATAAGTAATAATTAAGGAGTAGTAACTAGTAACTTTATAATGTTTAATACAATTAATGCAAATAATATTATAATTTCTATCATTATTAATAACATTAATAGTATTATAAATAAATATTTAATAAAAAAAGAGGTTCAGAAACGGAACCATTTGGTTCCGGTTCAACATTTTTGGGGAAACTGAACCGGTTTAGTAAACCTCCGGTTCCAAACTGGAAGTACTATGCGGTTCCGGTTCCGGTTCAAAAACTGACGGTTCCGGTTCTGGTTTAACTGGAAACCGCGAACATGTCTATGTAATTATGTCGAATTTCTTCCGCTATTAGTCCTTGTAGTCCACCACAATCTACTAATGAGTAATGACACTATCTATCTTCCGTCTAGGTGGCGACTGGCGAGCATTCCTAAGAAGAAAAATTCTTACTAAGAACGTGTTTACTTCGCTACTAAAGTTATGATTAGGTTAATAAAACAAGTGATGTAAACACACGGGTTGTTTAAAAAGTTGTTTACTACTAGTCGAAAGAAGTGCTTGAAGTATTAATTAAGCGACACCCACGTGTATTAATTAAGTGTCACTTTAAACTTTTTCAGTTTCCGAATTTACCCTTACCTTTATCCTTGCCTTTTACCTCTTACTCTCACCCCTACCTAACCTCTATCCTTACCTTGTCCCTACCCCCGCCCTACCTTACCCAGACCACACCCCCGCCCACCCCTTGACCAGGCCCCACTCCCACCCACTCCTACCTCTAACCCCTAATCGTAGACTGCTACCGGGGGCAGGGGTATCGGTACATGTATGGGGGTGGTAATAGGGGAGTAGGGGTAAGGTAGGGGTGGTCCCACATATTATATTATATGCTTGTGTACATGAATGTTTGTGTGTCTATATATGTATAATGTTATTTTGGACATTTTGTAATGTTAAACGGTGTTTTAAATCATGTGAAGTAAACATGAGCTTATATCATTGTTTTTTTTTTTTTTTTTTTTTACTCCAGGGGGGTCTGGGGGAGGGGGGCTGGGGGGAGCCTGGAGTAATCAGGGCTGAAACTCATATCATTGTTTATTTTACGCGTTGCTTATTAACACATGTCTTAATGAGCACCGTTTAGTGACCTGTGAAGTAAATATGTCCTGAGTTTTTACTTGGGCGGGTTTTCGTTCCGGATCATAACAGACTAAAACAGATCAGACCAAATGAGATCAGCCATAAGGGCAATTCTATTCATATCCCCCAAATTGCTATTAACAGCTACTTAATTAAACAAATATCTAAATTATCCTTGTTGAACGAGAAAAGCAGCCAAGCTAAGCAAAGGGATGGAGGCCTTCAGAAGACAAGCAGTTAAAAAGCTACTTTGGAACAGATTTTGAGAAGTGATCGATCAATTTATCTCTTCCAGTAGGCTTTTGTTTCTTAAAGAAGTTTGCAGAAAGTCCAATCATGCCATACCTAATCAAATCAAGCTTCCTTTTAATTATGCAAATGCTTAAATTGAAAGAGAATACATTCACATAGAACCAGAGTTTAATCTAATGTGTTTGTCTTTCTTTCATTCTTCATCGTACTTAGAAGACTCAGTCTCCCAGCAATTGCTATTAGCCTTCTTCTCGATAGCTTGTTCTAATCGAGAAAATTTTTACCGATTTTTAGCGTTTGACTTCTCAACAACTTTAGTTTCTCTCTTATAAGCGAATAGAAAAAAATCGAGTACTCCAAATTATTTGAAACGTTTTTCCAAAGTAATTTGGAGGATCCGGCAAATGGCAAACAACGACGATCCTAATTACCAGAACACCTGAGGCCTAACATGGATTTCCATTTAAAGCCGGCTGAGGGGATGTTAGAAACAATTGAATGAGTGATATCTTTGATGAACACTTCCAGGAGAGAGGGGAGACAGAGCCGATTGTTTTTCTTATCGGAAAAAGGGTAGTTTAGATATTTAAAATTTTATTTGGCAGTGAATAGCAATTTGGGGCCTGTGAATAGAATTATCTCAGCCATAAACAAACTAGATCATGATAAACCCTGATCGGACATTTACCACATCTTATAACGTTATTTGTCATACATTTTTAATGACAATGTTGTCATTTTTTGTATTAACTATGGATAAGAAACTCGTCTCGAGATGAAAAATATGCTGCTCCGTGATACATATGTGACAAATTCGTTGTCACTAAAAGTCACCAGTGATGATGACAAAGAGCCCGTTTGGAGAACTCTGTTTTCGGCTTATCAGGCTTATCAGCCAGCTTTTTCACCAAACACGTAACTTTTACTTTCGCGCGCTGAATTGTGTAATAAGCCGAAAAAGTAAGGTTGGAGTTACTTTTCTGGCTGTATTGGCTGAAGTTACTGTAGAGGACCATTTTAGCTATTTTTACATATAATTTTTTCTTTAATTTATTAATAAAATATATTTTTAAAATATTTTTTTCTTAAATCAGCAGAATCAGCCAAAACAGCCACTCCAGCCAGAATATCATAAATTTCAGCAGAATCAGCCAAAACAGCCGATTTTGGTGCTACCAAACAGGCTCAAAGTGTTTAAGTAATTAAGTGTCATAAATAAGTGAATTATAATGTGACGAATCCAAAATAGTCGTGTACTCGTGTATACCTTTTACCAAAAAGTTTTAACGGCCAAAAGTGAAGTTTTCATGATAGAATATTTTCATCATAATTGGAGATAATTCCCCAAGTAAGACTAAATAATGTTAAAAGTTCAACAATAGGAGTGCAATGTTCGGTTATGTTCCGTAGGACTAAAAAGAGTTAGATAGACAAAAATACCCTTAATGAATAAATCATTATTTATTAACAATGCAAATAAAATAATAGAAATAAAAATGACAGCAGCCCTAGACATACGGTGAAGCCTCTGGCAGTCCACATCCATTTCCAGCACCACAAACTCCTCCACCGCCGCCGCCTCCACCGACGACGTGGGCGCCGCCACCACCACTGGCGGTGGCGCCGACATTTCACCTCCGGTGCCACCAACGTCATCTCCGCCTCTACCAGCGTCGCCGCTGCCCCCCTCCACCGGCGTCACTGATAGCCGCCTCCACCGACGTTGCCGCCCCCCTCCACCGGCGTCACTGATAGCCGCCTCCACCGACGTCGCCGCCGGCCGCTTTATCTGCCACATCATCCAGTGATGCTCCAGCGATGTTTCCGGCCAGCCGCCATCAGATCTGAGATTTGATTGTGACTTGATAATATTACTATACAAGTGCCATCTTGGAGTTGTATTGTCATCTTATTAATGACACTATTGCCATCCTGACAAAATTAAAATGATATTTTCAGTTTGAAAAACATGGCACTAATGTCTTTCATAAAAAGTATTATTGTCATCTTTGTCATGTTAGTTCCATAAAAATGACATTCATTTTCAAAGCGGCATTTTCATATTTAGAGGACTAATATTAAAAATGTAAGTGCATCTTAAGTTCATTATTGCCATTTTGACAGAAATAAAATGACATATTCATGTTAAAAAACATGGCATTAATGCCATAAAAATGTCATTAATGCCATAAAAATGTCATTAAGATATAAATAATATTAATAATGGTGGCATTAACTTCCAATAGATGATATTTTTAAGAAAATAATAATAATAATAATAATAATGTCATTTTTGTTTTCAAAAATAATAAAAAAAAAACATAAAAACATAAATATCAAACAAAATTAAAAAAATTTGAAATAAATAAAAAATTGAAAATCTGGTAAATAAAAAGATATAGTAGAAGCAGAACAATGAAGAGAAGGAGATTGAGAAAAGAGGAAGAGGAATAAGAAGAAGAAGAAGATGAAGAAGAAGAAGAGTAGGAATGTCGAAGCTTACCTATGAATTCTCCGCCGCTCACCGCTTGTTGCTCGCTGCCCGCCGCTCGCCGCCCGCCGCTCGCCGCCCGCCGGAGCTCCAGATAAAATCACTGTTCATACTCTAAAATAGGTCGAAGACGGATGAGTTTATATGTATTGAAATCTGGAGATATGTGAGATGAGGAGATATGATTGAACAGGAGGTGTAAAAGCTCGAAGATGAGTTTGGCCTGGAGCAGATCTATTGCTTGAAGAGAGCTTGGGAGCAGATCTGGTTTCTGATATGGTGCGTGAAGAGAAAAGAGAGGGGGAGAGAAGAAAGGAGAGAGGAGAGAGAGAATGAAAAAAATAGTTGTCCGTATGTATTCGTTGCTGCGTGAGAAGAAAGGGTAGGGTGGGAATAAAACAGAAAATAGTCCTATTTTGGGAATAAAAAAGCCTATAGTCCTATTCTTGCATTAATCATATATTTTAGTCCTACTTAGGTCAATTACTTTATTTTAGAACCTTGTAATGACAAGATGCTTTGGAGTCTCGATAAGAATATAGTATATATAGAGCTGGTTTGGTAACACTAAAATTGGCTGAATTGGCTGATTCTGCTGAAATTTATGAAGTTCTGGCTGAAGTGGTTGTATTGGCTGATTCTGCTGATTCATGAAAAAATTATATTTAAAATATTTGTTATTAATAAATTAAATAAAAACTATATGAAAAATAGCTAAAATGATCCTCTACAGTAACTTCAGTCAATACAGTCAGAAAAGTAACTCCAACCTTACTTTTTCTGGTTATTACAAAATTCAGTGCGCGAAATCAAAAGTTACGTGCTTGGTGAAAAAGATGGCTGATAAGCCTGATAAGCCGAAAAAGGGGATCATCAAACGGGCTCATAATTATATAAAAGTAAAATTGTCAAATAAGCTCTGGCAGTACTATGCATACTAAATTATCACTCAATCAAATCCTTAAGTTTTAAAAACGCTCAAATCAAACTATTGCACGTTCAACAACCGATTAGCAAGTCAAATTATACATGCGCAGTGGCACTCCATGTGGCTTCTTTATCTTGGCAACTCCTTTATCTTTCCTTTTGATTCTCAGTCTTCTTTTCCTCCCTCTCCTCAAGCTCCAAACCCACATGACCCACATTTGTATGTTTCGTACATAAACTCCTCTCTCCCATATATATACACTTCGTATATATTATGGTTTTTTTTTCTCCGATGCCACCCTATTTTAGAGGGCACCAATGCACCACTTTCCAGAGATTGACATGTGTACAAATATGGCCATGTGTGCTGGTCATATAGTCAACACTTAGTATGTAATAAAATTGCACAAGCAGTCCCTCTAACTCCTGGCCTATGCCCTTAACATACGTCCGTCAGGTCTGGACCGAGACTCCTCTCCCGTTAACAAACATCCGCTCTCCTCTAAGTGAGATAAAAGAATACTCCGTATTTTTTTCAATTTGCAAATCTTATCCGTTCCTCACTGTGCGGACATAGTTTTTTGGGAAAACTATCAAATAAGCCCCCATACTATGCCGAAAAAGTCGATTAGGCCCTCGTACTTTACAAACACTCAATTAAGTCCTCGAACTATTAAAAAACGTTCAATTAAGCCCTTTCGGTCAGTAAGTAACCGGTTTCCCGGTTAACGGCGACGACGGCGACGATGTGCTCGAACCCCAGCAACGGCGGCTGCCAGGAAACATGTTACATTTAACCGGGAAACCGGTTACTTACCGATCGAAAGGGCTTAATTGAACGTTTTTAATAGTTCGAGGACTTAATTGAGTGTTTGTAAAGTACGAGGGCCTAATCAACTTTTTCGGTATAGTACGGGGGCTTATTTGATAGTTTTCCCTAGTTTTTTTTGAGTTCACAGCATAGCCTCCACCTACGACTCCCTCCCTGGTAATCGGATTGAACTATTGGTAGGTCACTCTGGGCAGCCTAACGGAGCCTCCTGGACGGTACTCGTGGGCGGTGGCCTCAGGACGCCATTTGATCTTCCGTCTTCCGGTCGGGGGCATCGATTCTGGCCATCAATGTCCAATGACAGAGTAGCTCAGGTAGTCAGGTATGATATTTTTAATTTGATTTCCTTTTATTTTTTAATTTTTTTGGGTAATCTTAAGAAATAATTACATGAATATGATCAAAATAAAGATGGTTTACAAAAATATGACTAGTTACTAGAGTAGTAATGAAATCATAGTAATTCATGTTCAAGTTTTGAACTTAAGTTACTACAACACCACGTTGTAGTAATGAATAGTCATATTTATGTAAATAAGTTTTATTTTAGTAATATTTTTGTAAAAAATCCTAATCTTAATCAAGTTTTTTTTGTACTTGTATACTCAGTATAATCCTTATTTGCTTTGGTTTACAATATTTTTATCATAATTTTCTATATTGACTGTGTTTATTTTTTCCTAATTTCAGCCTAATAAATTAATAACAACACATCATCCGGCCAGTAGCTATTTGTTGCAAGCTCTTACATACGTAGTGCATTGGTGTTCGGGCTGGAAGTCTGACTGTAATTAGTAGTTTAGGAACTGCCAATACATGGACTGAATGTACAATTTTAATCATAAAGATGTGGAATGTTATTAAAATTTGGTCAATCTAACCAATTAAGCCTCTTGAGTTGTACTATATTGCTTCAGCCCACCCTATAATTGTGTCTTTCAATTCTAGCTTTATAATTGTGAGAGATGAAAACTAATGTCTGATGAAATTTGTTTAACCTTAGCAACTAGAAAGTGTTACCACATTTATTTCAAGATTAAATGAGAAACTACAAGGATTAAAAAAAAGCAATTGATTCATGATAGGGAACATTTATTTTTAATTGATTCACGAGTAAGCAAATATATGGAGCCACATCTGAGGAAACGGTTACCACATGATTTCATTCTTTCTTTAACCTTCAACTTCTGGGCATACACAACATTCTCATTTGCTAATCTGGACGTCTCTGCTAGTAATGTTGCAAATGTATGTCTTAACTGCAACTGGAAAAATAATTACTATATAAAAATTGTCATCTTTTTTATCATCAAGTACTGGTTGAGTGTAATTACTATATAAATCTCAGTTTATCACTCAAGACACTTGCCTTCCGACTGATATAATCTGAATACACAACTAGAAATCTACAGCAAATCCCAGCAGAACAAAAGAAGACATAGCATGGTCACTAGATCACAATCGAAGCAATTCCCTTGGGCTTAGCTATATTTATTTTTATTTTTTACTTTCCTTGTTTCTTTTCCTTGTCCTTTTCCTTTGGCACTTCTTTTTTCTGCTTTCTCTCATATTCACGCACTGTATACCTCCCTTCATTTCTCAATAAAATTTTCCTTTCACAAAAAAAAAAAAGAAAAAAATGTAATTGTTCGAGCATGCATCAAGAAATTATCATATGTCACCCAGATTGAACTTCCTATCTTCCTCACTTTATTCTTAAGTTAAGGTTATACTCAACCAAAAGGTGGGATCCCTCTCCTAAGTGACTCCATAAAAAGTTTAATGCTCATGTTCAAGTCATTACAATACCCATACAATGTTATTCTTAATGATTTATATTTCCAGTTTTCAACCCTTGAAAACTATTAATTAATTTAGGGAAATTGATGTCACAAGGGGGGAGGGGGGCTAATCCTTTAATCCTGGATGCGTTTAATATAGAGGGCGAACCTGTGCAAGATCTCGGAAGGAAGAGTGCGGGTGGGAGGACTCACGGTGAGTAGCAGAGGCTCTAATTGTCTGGGCGGCCAAACACTGAGACGGTGAAGAGGAAAACGAGTATTGCGTTATCCACCTCCTGTGAACTGCGAAGGTCGGAAAATATACATTGAATGTGGCCGACATCTTAATGCCGTTCTTTCTGTTCGGATTCAATCAGTGCAATGTGGACCGTTTGTTTGGTTAAGAACTCTCGGTCCAGACCTGACGGACGTATGTTAACGGCATAGGTTGGGGAGTTAGAGGGACTGCTTGTGCAATTTTATTACATACGTAAGTGTTGACTATATGACCAGCACACATGGCCATATTTGTACACATGTCAATCTCTGGAAAGTGGTGCATCGGTGCCCTCTAAAATGGGGTGGCATCGGAGAAAAACCCATATTATGGAGCCCCAAAAATCATGTGGGCAATGAGCGATGGGAATTGGGATGGCGATTGGTAAGGACACGAGACAAGTCACAGGAAAACAAGGGGTCAAGGAGTGAATTCATCAGAAAGCCATGCACAAAAATGGACTTCCCTTTGGGATAAAAAATTGCAAGAGAATCATGAAGAAAAAGAAAGATAAAAAAGAAAGAGAAGAAAACAACATGAAAATGGTGAGTATTAGATTGGATTTGTCGTGTCTATCTGTCATCCATGTCTTCAGCATCGATCTTCTACTTCGGTCTCTAGCGCTGTCATGGCGTCGCAGACATTTTATTGGCGCCACATGGACATTTTAACGGGAAAATCTTTTAGTTAATGACTAAATTTCTTATTTGAATATTTTTAACAAGTTTGGGGATCTAATCGGGTGATTTTAAAGTATAAAGACCTGATTGACTTTTTTGGACATAGTATGATGCCTTATTTAACATTTTCCCCATATATAAATAGCTAACAAATTTGTATTCATGAAATTGATAAAGCTAAGGAATTACTCTTCAAAGTTATTAGTTCAACAACCGTTATTAGTACAAATGACTCCCGCCCTTGACATCCATTATACTCACTATCGTAGACAAGGAGCTTTTATTCATTGCCGGATCAAAGAAAGATGCTCAAAGTTTTTATTCATGAAATTATTATAAGAGTTTATGCAAAACCAAAGCAAATCTTATGGGTACATTTTTTTAAACATTTACTGTAAAAAAATTGAAACAGTTCTATGCCTTCTAACTCATTTTTGTACGTGTTTGAATTTCATAGGATCATAAGTTCATAACGAGCTAGAATGGTTGGACACTCATTTGGATAGAGACTTTATGCACAAGGTTTTAAATTAATGTATTTGGAATACAACCTTTATTTCCAGATTTCCATCCACTTTCCAGTAAGGGCTTTAATGGATTTATTGTTTATCATTTTACTCTTTTAGGCTTTCAACTTTATTATATTCTAATTTTATGAATTATAGTACGTAGTAATATACTAATATACTAATATAATTATAATTATGTTTACTTCTGATTGGAGTGAGCCATTGGCCATTTTTAACATATATTATTGATGTGATTTGTGATTCATTTTGAATTCATTTTTTTACCATTGGCATTCAAAAGAGAAATCTTTGTCAAAGTGCTATTAATGGCCATATCGTGTGCAAAATCATGCATATGATCTCTCTGGAAAGGAAGCTCTCATTCTGTACATTAGAAATTGTCCAAAGTTTATCAATCTTAGGTACCCATGATATATTCAGTTTTTTTACAGTGAAAATGCCATAAAGTGGGCGAGACAAGCTACCTTTAGCCAGGAGCCTCTTTTCCTTGAACATTACTTGACGTTGCGAAAGACATAAGAAAAGGTCAAGCAGTAGTGGCCACTTAACCCGTTCTAGTGTCGGCTCTTATTTTCTATGTCACGGCCTATGTTCTTTTATCTGCCTGTCAATGAAGAAAAAATCTATTTAGCTGAACTTAGGTATTCAAAAAGAAAGGATTTCTTGCTGGCTATCCATAGACAGTAGATCTAACCCAAAGATTCTTTTTTAGGTAGATATGCTTTCTGTAAG